CTGTTGTGGGGTAATGATGCTCTGTATGTATTGGTTCAGTTCCTCTATTTTCTTGTTAATCTTCTATCTGGTTATTCTATCCATTACTGAAGTTGTGTATTGTAGTCTCCTCCTACTGTAGAGCCATTTCTCTCTTCTGGTCTGTCAGTGTGTGCATCATATGTTTTTCAGCTCTGATGCATATGTTTACAGTTGTCATATCTGCTTTGTGAATTGACCCTTTTATCATTGTGTAATGCCATTCTTTGTTTCTTGTAGCAGCTTTTGACCTACAGCCTATTTTGTCTAGTATCAGTATAGTAATCTCTGCTCTCTTTTGGTTATTATTTTCAAGAGAAATCTTTTTTAATCCTTGCACTTTCAACCAATGTGTGGCCTTAGAGCTAACAATGTGGGAGCTTTTTTTTTAAATCCGTTCTGCCTATCAGGGTCTTTTGATTGGGGAGTTTAAACATTTTACACTTAAAACAATTATCTGCAGGGAAGGACTTCCTATTGCTGCTTTGTTAATTATTATTTTTATGTCTTATGAATTTTTGTCTCATTTTTTTCCTTGTTGCTTTTCGTTGTGTTCAATTTTTTTTGTAGTGGTATGCTTTGATTCCCTTATTTCCTTTTGTGTATATTCTATAGGCATTTTCTTTGCAGGATTACATAGAATATCTTAATGTTACAACAGTATATTTTAAACTGATCACGACTTAACTTCAATTGCATACAGTATCTTTACCCCTTTACAGCTTGTCTTCTCCACATTTTACTGATGTAAAAAAAAATGGCGTCTTTATATAATATGTACTTACTAACATAGCCTTCTAACTTTTTTATTCTTTTGTCTTTTCAATCCTGTAAAAGGATAAAAAATGGAATCACAAAGTAAGACCACAGTAATACTGGTTTTTATATTTTTCCCATGTCTTTACCTTTACTGGAGAAATTTATTTTTTCATAAGGCTTCAAGTTACCACCTGGCATCCTTTCTTTTCCACTTGAAGGACTCCCTTTAAAACTTCTTGAAAGGCAGCTCTGCTGATAATGAATTCCCTCAGCTTTTGTTTATCTGAGAATATCTTAATTTTCCCTCATTTTTGAAGTAAGTAAAATATTTTGCTGGATATATTGTTCTCAGTAGACAGTTTTTTTTTTTCATTCAGCACGTTAAATATATCATTTCCCTGTTTTCTGGCTTGCAGTGTTTCTGTTGAGAGATCTGTTAATCTTTTGAGGTTTCTGTGTAAATGTTAAATCACTTTTCTCTTGCTACCTTTAATAGTCTCTATTTGATTATTGTTTCTTTTTTGAGATTCTTGGATTTATATATCCATGTCTTTCCTCAAATTTGGGAAGTTTCTGGTTATTATTTCCTCAGATAAGCTCTCTGCCCCTTTATCTCTCCTCTGGGACTCCCATGATTCATATATTAATCTCTCTCCTCCTCTTGGACTCCCATAATGTATATTGACCCACTTAAGCAAGTGTTCCTTCCTCTGCAGGTTTTGGAATATTTTTGAGAAGGATAGATATTAACTCTTCTCTAAATATTTGGTAGAATTCACTTGTGAAGCCATCTGGTCCTGGACTTTTGTTTGTTGGAATTTTTTACAACTGCTTCAGTTTGAGTATTGGTAATTGGTCTGTTCATAGTTTCTATTTTGTCTTCATTCAGTCTTGGGAAATTGTACCTTTCTATGAATTTGTCCATTTCTTCTAGGTTTTCCATTTTATTGGCATATAGTTTTTTTTTGTTGTAGTCTCTTATGATCTTTTGTATTTCTGTGGTGTTGGTTGTAACTCCTTTTTCATTTCCGATTATATTGAGTTGGGCTTTTTTCCTTTTCTTCTTGTGTTCAGCTAAAGGTTTATCAATTTTGTTTATCCTTTTAAAGAACCAGCTTCATTTTCGTTGATCTTTATTTTTTTTTCAGTCTCTATTTCATTTATTTCTTTCCTAACTTTGGGTTTTGTTTGTTCTTTTTCTAGTTACATTAGGTGTAAGGTTAGATTGAGATTTTTCTTGTTTCCTGAAGTAAAGTTGTATCACTGTACACTTTCGTCTTAGAACTGCTTTTGCTTTATCGCAGAGGTTTTGGATTATTGTGTTTTCATTTTGATTTGTCTGTATCTTTTTATTTCCTCTTTACTTTCTTCAATGCTCTATTGGTTGTTTAGTAGCATATTTTTTAGCCTCCACATGTTTGTGTTTTTTTGCAATTTTTTCTTATAGTTGATTTCTTGTTCAGTGTTGTGGTTGCAAAAGATGCTTGATATGATTTCAGTTTTCTTAAATTTACTGAGACTTGTTTCATGGTCTAGCATGTAATCTATCCTGCAGAGTGTTCTGTGTGCACTTGAAAAGAAACTGTATTCTGCTGCCTTTTCATGGAGTGCTCTATATATATCAATTAAGTCTATCTGGTCTAATGTGTTACTTAAGGCCAGTGTTTCCTTGTTGATTTTCTGACTGGATGACCTGTCCATTGATGTAAGTGGGGTGTTAAAACTGTTTACAATTACTGTGTTACTGTTGATTTTTCCTTGTATGTTTGTTAATACTTGCCTTATATATTGAGGTACTCCCACGTTAGGTGCATATATTTCAGTTGTTACATCTTCCTGGATTGACCCCTTTATCAGTATGTAATGTCCTTCTTTGTAACTATCTTTATTTTAAAGTCTGTTTTGTTAGGTATAAGTATTGCTACTCTGCCTTTCTTTTGATTTCCATTTCCATTGAATATCTTTCTTCATTCTCTCACTTTCAGTCTGAGTGTGTCTCTAGATCTGAAGTAAGTCATTTGTAGGCAGGGTATATACCAGTTCTGTTTATGTATCCATTCAACCACTCTGTGTCTTTTGGTTGGAGCATTTAGTCCATTTACATTTAATGTGATTATTGATTATTTAATGTTTTATTGCCTTTTTTTTTTAATCTTATTTTCTTCCTTCTTCTTTAATCTTGTGATGAATATCTTTGTTGTTATGTTTGGGATTCTTTGTTGTTGTTGTTGTGTGTATATCTATTAAAGATTTTTGGTTTGTCTTTACTGTAATGTTTTTGTATGTATAGCATTATATACAAAACATAATAGCTGAAAACTTCCGTAATTGGAAAAGGAAATAGTCACCAAAATTCAGGATGTGCAGGGAGTCCCATAAAGGATGAATCCAAAGGGGAACACACTAAGATGCATTGTAATTAAAATGACAAAACTTAAAGAGAACTTTAAAAGCAGCAAGGGAAAGTCCACAAATAACATACAAGGAAACTCCCATAAGGCTTCCAGCTGATTTTTCAGCAGAAACACTGCAGTCCAGAAGGGCATGGAAAAATATATTAAAAGTAATGAAAGGGGAAAACTGATCATCAAGAATACTCTACCCAGCAAGGCTCCTTCAGATTTGATGGAGAAATCAAAAGCTTAACAGACAACTAAAAGCTAAAAGAGTTCAGCAGTAGGAGCCAGCTTTACAACAAATGTAAAGGAACCTGTCTAGGCAAAAAAAAGAAAAGGCCACAACTCAAAAACTAGAAAATTATGAAACGAAAAAGCTCACTGGTAAAGTCAGACATATAGTAATGGTGAATAATCATCTACCACAAATCTGATACAAAAGTTAAAAGACAAAAATAGTAAATTCATCTATACCCACAGTAAGCAGTTAAGGGATACATAAAACAATTAGATATAAAATATATCAAAAACGGTAATCATGAGGGGAGGGATGTACAAATGCAGAGTTTTCAGAATGCACTTGAAATTAAGAGATCAGTAACTTAAAACAATCACAAATATATAAACTGCTATCCAAAAATCTCATAGTAAGCAGAAATCAATCTAGAATTACTTTATTTCAAGTCGTACTACAAGTAATTAAAATTAGTTTTATGTGGGAACATTAAGTTTGTTGGACATTTTAATGCAATTATCAAGTATCAATCTTTTTTCAGTGTCATGTGTTTTAGTTTTGTAGCACTGGGAGCCCTTTTTTATTTATTAAGGAAAATACATTTGAAAGAAATAATATTTACATTAGGATTTTCACTGAAAAAGATGAGTAAACTAAGGCTTTTTACTCCTTGAAGTTTTTTAAACCAGCGTATGGAGATACCATATAACATTAAAGATTTATTTGATGATTTTTTGGAAGATACATTTTAATGTAAAATAATTTTTTAAAAAATAGCAACTTTCTTAGTTCTACTCAGTATTTCATTTCCTATCTTCATCATATACTGATTGGAAAAAAGAATTCACAGCACAAAGTATATTGAAGGCTGCCGTACAAAGAATTATCCATAAATGGAAAGTTTAAGCTGTAGCTTTGCATGTCACACTGGGAAAAAAAGAGTAAGGTAAGTGATACTCCACATACCTGTATCATTCACTGATTGGTCAACTCCACAATGTGGTCACATTTGTGCCTTATTATACAGCTTATCTCTGTTGGATGTTACTGACATTCATTTCTTGGTGTTTTTCCTATACATTATGTGAACATTTAGGCAACAGTTACTCATATTCTAATTACTACTTAAAAGTGAAGGCAGTAGTTTTCTGTGGCAGAATTAAAGCAAAGATAGGGCAACACTCTAATATCTCTAGGAAATCCTTACTAATCTCACATGGATGGATTAAAATTTTCTTTCCAGTTGTTCATTGCAGATATATTTAAATATAATTCATTTTTCCTGTATTTTCTTGTATTTTATGTTACTAGACTCATATTATTTGTATAATTTTGATGAGCATGTTTGTATTCATTAATATTGATCTGTAACTGCAGTGGTCAGAACTTATAATAAATGATGTTTTGGTCAAACATAAACTGTTAGACTAAGTTAAGAATGAAGGTGTGCCAACAATGAAAGTTGGATTCTACTTTCTGTTACACATTTTTATAATTATTTTTCATTAATGTGACATATAGGTATAAAGTATATTTGTTAAAATGAAGATTATTTGAATGTTTCAATTTTATTTTTTAATCTTTTCTTTTAGGAGCTGTGGCCCTCAAGAATCTTGAAATTAAAGAAAATGCCCTGGTAGGTTTGTGCTATAAAAATTTTATTTTATTAGTACATTTAGCTATAATAGACTTCTTCCTGATTTACTTCATCTTAAATTATTTACATTTGAGAAAACTTTTTGAAAATAATTTTTGTAAAATGTGAATATTGCAAAATGGACTTTTAATCTCTATAAAAGTATAAACTGACAGTGTGCTTTTCCCCATTAAAGAATATTTCTAATATTTATCTCTTCCTATATGGTTTCATTTTATATTGTTAACCTGCCTCCCCAATCATCTTCAATTTTTTTGTAATACCATTTTAATCATGGTAAACCGTAGAATTCAGTGACATTAACTATATTTGCAGTATTGTGCAACCATCACCAGTATCTATTTCTGAAATATTTTCATTATTCCAAGGGGAGTCTTGTAACCATTAAGAAATAACACCCCGTTCACCCTCCTCATAGACCCTGCTAACCTCTAATCTACTTTTGTTTTCGTGAATTTGCCTCTTCCAGGTACTTTATATAAATGGAATCATGCTTTTGTCATTTTATATCTAGTTACTTGACTAAGCATAATTCCTTCAAGTTTCACCAATGTTGTAGCGTATATCTGAAAATCACTCCTTTTTGTGGCAGAATAATATTGTACTGTATGTATATGCTGCATTTCATCCATTTATCTGTTGATTACAGTTGAGTTGTTTCTGCCTTTTGGCTCTTGTGAATGATGCTGCCGTTGAACATTAACATACATGTCTTTTCAAGTCCCTGCTTTCAATTCCTGTGGATAAATATCTAGGAATGGAATTGCTGGATTATATGTTACTTTTATGTTCAGCCTTTTCAGGAACTGCCCACTGTTTTCCACAGCAGTTGAACCATTTTCTACAGGCATACCTTGGAGATTTTGTGGGTTCAGTTCCAGACCACTGCAATAAAGTAAATACCACAGTAAAGCAAGTCACGTGACTTTTTAGGTTTCCTAGTGCATATAAAAATTGTATTTACACTGTACTGTAATCTGTTAAGTGTACAATAGCATTATGTCTAAAAAGCAGTGTACAAACCTTAATTAAAAAGTTATGCTATTGGGAAAATGGCACTGATAGACTTTCTTGACACAGGATTGCCACAAACCTTCAGTTTGTTTCTAAAAAATGCAGTATGTGGGAAGTGCAATAAAGCAAAGCACAATAAAATGAGGTATGCCTGTATTCACACCAGCAATGCATGAGGGTTCCAATTTCTCCACATCCCTGACAACATTTGTTTTATGTTTTTTTATAATAGCCATCCTAGTGGATATGAAATGGTTTTCCTTAGCATTTTTCTAATGTCTAGTGAGGTTGAGCATCTTTTCATTTGCTTTTTGTCCATTTTAATATGTTTTTTTGGAGAAATATCTTGAAAAGCACCGGGTTTTTTTGATTTCTAATCAAAGTTTTTTGTTTTGGTTGAGTTGTAGTTCTTTATATATTCTGGATATTTCCCCTTGCCAGAGATGATTTGCAAATACTTCCCCGCATTCTGTGGGTTGGCTTATACCTCTATTAACAATGTTATGCACCGTTTTTTTATGCACACAAATTTTTAATTTTGATGAAACTGAATTCATCTTTTTCTTGTTGTTGTTGCCTGTGCCTTTGGTGTGATATCCAAGAAATTATTGCCAAATCGAACATCTGGAAGATTTTTTTTGTTTTCTTCTAAGGGTTTTATAGTTTCAGTTTTTATGTTAGGTCCTTAGTTCATATTTTTAGTTCATTTTTGTGTATGGTATGAGATAAGATTCCAACTTCATTCTTTAGCAAGTGAATATCCAGTTTTCCCAGCACCATTTATTGAAAAGTTTGTCCTTTCCGCATTGAATGAGGAGAAAAATTTTTGAGGATATTTTTTGCAAAATGGAGGTCAATTTCCCTAGAAATACAAACTGACAGTGAATTTTCCCAATTTTTTTCAGACAGTGTAAAAGCTGTAGTGATTCTCATATGGATAATTTAGGCGGTCAGTATTACTGTAGAACCTTTCCCCTATTTTAAGATTTTCTGTCTCCCTGAATTTTACAGATTTGAGGATAAAATTGCAATATGTATTTATAAATTTAAGTAAGTGTTGCAGGTAAAGAGAAAGTGTAAGTTAACTTAAACTCCTTAAGTAATTTTGGGAAGAAAAAATAATCATCTGTTTTGTTGAACTGTATATATACTAATAATTTACTTTTTTTTTTGTAGAGTCAGCTGGATGTACCATTTAAAATTAAAGTTGGTCATATAGGTGAGCTATCTTTATTATTTTAATTTCCTCCTTGCTGGATATGCAACCAGAATAATATGTCTAGTATCTTTATAATGTGATATTTTTAATTTTTCTGAGCGTAAATTAAAATAATCATGTGTTTTCATCTAGGCAGAGCTTAGTTGTGAAACTTTAAAATTCTGTGAGGTCCATATATTCCTTGTCAAATTCCCATGAAGTTATGCATCTTATTAGGTGTTGAAATGAGTTGAGAGCCAAAGCATTAAATCCAGTGTAGAACATGATTGTCTCACTTTCTTAAGTTTCTGGCTAATTATCATTGCTGTTTTTTGATTGGCCATGGATATGTGGTATAAAGAGCAGGGTCTGGATCATCAGGAACCAGTCAGAAACCTAGTTTCTGTTCTGAAAGTTTTCTAGTTTTCTAGGAAATACTGTGCTATTTGTTTGTTTTGTTTTGTATTATTTTTCTAGTTTTTGTAGTTTACATTTTTAAATGTATTACTTGAGCAGATACTGATATTTTAACATGTCTAATAAAAATATATGTGTTTGGTTTCTTAAATTATGTTGGTTTATTTTAACTTTATTGGTTTAAGTGTTACGCAGGATAATAGTGTTACTATTTGTGACTTGAAAGTTTTTTTGTTACGTAGATAATTTCTATGGTAGAATTTATATAACATTACTGCAATGTATTGATGTCACTTGGGGAACATGGTATTGTGAAAGTTTATATAAATTACCTGATGAATGTCTCCACAATTTTGTGCACTTATAGTTGGTTTTAGACCATATGAATGAGAAAGCTTTTTATCATTTACAGTTCTGAGACTCAAATTCTGTACCCCACCCCCCAACCAAGAGAGGAAAAATGTCACCCATTACTTTTGCACCTAATATGTTTATTTTGGCAGATTTTTTTATGATTGTTCACAAGTGAACATTTTAAATTCTTGTAATCATGGTACATGGATGATTTTATATTCAATTTTTAAGTTAACATTTAATTAAGATTTCTCATAGTCTTTGTTGATTTGACCTCCCTTATTTCTTAAGGTAGTGTAATAATCCACTAAATGCATATTTGGGCATTATAATGTAATCCTGTATTTCTATTGGTATAAAAATCTTACAGTAAACATTTTGATTATAGCTTTTTAAAAATTTCCAAAAGTCATTGAATTTTATAATTATTATCATTGCATATCAGTGTATATAAATTTGACATCAATTCAAGGAAAGTAAAAATATACATATGGAGAGTAGATAGACTTGCTTTCATTTGGAGCCTGCCTTCTTTCCTTCCTCTTTTCTTGTCTGACCATGTTTAAAAATGATAAAAAGGTAATTTTTAGTGTTGATATAAAGTAGTAGAAGGTAACTGCACTCAACAACTAATACATAAGATAATCTTGAGAATCACTAAATGTGTCATTTGCATCTCTTTCATAACACCTGCCATTCTTTAATATTACTATTTATTTTTTACTTATAGACAGTAAGTTTTTTGAGAAGTGGATTTAATTTTTAAATTATATTTTAATTTTATTGTATCCTCACTTAGTAGAATACTTGGCATATAGTAGGAATATAATTTGTTGAATGAAAGAACCACACATTTCCAGATGAGTGATATGGTAGTATAACCAGTTTTTTAAGAACGTATTTTCCTTTTGCTGTTATTGGGTGTTGTTAGTCTTATTGATCTTTCAAAATTTTCCTCATTTAGCATGCAGAATTACATATATATAAAATATAAATATATACATAATTTCAAAGTACTTGTTTTTACGTGGAAGATTTTTGAAATTATTGTTTGTATTTTTTCTGAATGTTCCAAATTTTCTGTAAGAAGCCTGAACTTCATAAGAAGAGGGAAAAACAGTTTGGCTAAAAAAAAAAGACCTAGTGGTAAAAATGCTACCTGTTAGTTTTGTATGTGTTTCTTTGATTACTTAATGCTATTGTGTCACTGTTCTCTCTCCTTTTATTCACTTACTTTTTTGATTATTAATTTATGTGGCTATATGTGCGTAAGCAATCCATTTGGTACTTTTATAAATAAAATGTCAAACTTGTCAGTTATTTTTTCCAATTTGCTCATTTCATTTTGGTTATATTTTGGACAGTATAGAAATTTGAAATGATCATTCTCTTCTCTGATTTCAAAACTTAGAAAGTTATTTCTCTTTTAGAAATCAGATAGTTTGTTTTTCTGTGGATTGATTTAGTATGAAATCTTTTTCTCAATTTGGGGTGTTTTAAACATGTGTTTTTGGAGTTATATAATGAGATATGTCTAAGTATGTATTACTAACCAGATAATGCAACAGTGGTATATTTAATAAGTCTTTCCCTTCCCTACTCATGACAACTATTTCTAAATATAGAGATTTATACTTTAAAATTTTTTTAAATCTTAAAACTATTATAGAAAATTTCTAAATATGTAAATCTAGAATTAATAGTATGATGAACCCCTTACATAGTATTTTTTAGTTAAAGAAATCTAAATGCTTTTTGAAATGCTTTGCTATTGGGTCGTAGTAAAATATTTTCATTGGTTTGAATAATTTTCTAATATTGCTCAGGATCCTTGGTTATTATTGTAGAAATTTGTGAGTATATATAATTAGGGTGATAATCATACATATATTATATATTTATCTATATAATCTGTATAAAAATGCATTTATATAAAGTATGTAATCTACTGTTTTAAAGTATAAGAAAAATATTTCTTAGAGATTTAAAGTAAGAATCGGGGAAAATCAAACTTATATCGGGGATTGTTGATTAATGGAAAAAGAATATTGGTATGTTTGTGGTACAGATCGCCATGAATAGAAACTTGTAAATATTCAGAATATCATTTTCCAACAATACTAATAAAACCAATTTCAAATCATCACACCAAAGCTTGTTTTTGGTTGTAAAATAGCTTTCTATAAAGTGACTGAGCTTATAAGGTCACAGGCTACTTTATCTCTTTTAATGTCTGACAGAAAATAGGCTGATAGTAGATCTAGGTTGAATGAATAATATTTTTGTCTTCTTTCATGCAGGTAATCTTAATCTTAAAATTCCATGGAAAAACCTTTATACTCAACCAGTTGAAGCTGTATTAGAAGACATTTATTTACTCATAGTACCTTCTTCTAGTAAGTCAAATTTTAAACATCATTTCAGTTGCTCTTTTTTATGCATAGAAAAAAATTTCGTGTTTGATAATTGTTCAAATAATTTTGGTGAATTTTTTGTTTTTAATATGTAAATTTATATTTGGTAATTCAAAATATATTGGTTTTTACTCTAAATTTTTGCCAAATTTGAATTAGTGATTATTTTCCAGGATATATTTTGGAATGAGTATGTTTAAGGTAATTAAGATTCTTTCCTTTTATGCTTTCTATAGTAATAAAATATGATCCTTTAAAAGAAGAAAAGCAACTCTTAGAAGCAAAGCAACAGGAATTGAAAAGAATAGAAGAAGCAAAACGAAAAGTAGCTGATCAAGGTAAAGAAAACAAATAAGAATGGTAATAAGAAAAGTAGAAAATACCTAAACATTATCATTTTAATTTTATTTTCCCTAAATATTTATCACATTTGAATGTTATTTTCTTCTGGAGGCACTGAGATTACTTTAAAAATATGACAGAATATTATTACATGAGGAATTTTAACGTGGTTTGTGTGTTTTACCATGTTTATGGAAATTTTATCTTATAGAAATTTACCTTAGTGGAAATAATATTCCTAGCTTATAAGGGTAAGGTTAGTTTTTAACTATAGTAATTAATTTTTTGAAGTACATTTTCTTACTTAGAAGTCTTTCTTATTCCACTTGTATTAATTCTTCACCTTTTGGAGGTACTTAGTCCTTTGATATATTTTCTCAAATCTATTTACCCTTTGGCTTCCTATTCAGCCTAGAATAAAATGGTTCATTACTTCAACCCCCCTTTTTTGGTCAGTGACAGAGATCTTGCAGAAATCTAACCCTTTGCCACTTAAACTGGTGATGGTAATGATGTCACCATCAACATCTGCGTTTTGTACTGTTAGCTTCTTCTAGTGAATCTTCTTGGCATTTAAATATATTGTAGCCTCTGTTATCTTTAAACAAAGTCATCTTCCTGACCTTGTCACCTCTTTATCTTGTGTTCCTTTGTCCTTTAATAGCTAAGCATCTTTAAAGAAATATATATATACTAATCTCACCATCCTTGTCATACCTTTATTTTTTTAAATAAAAAATAAAATCCAATAATAAACGCTTTACCTGTTAACGAACAGGTAAAACACATTAAAGGAGATTTAACATAGTTCCTGGCAACACTTCTTGTAATTATGTTTTCTTCTCTGTTTCAGTTTTTTGATATCCTATGTGGTCATTCATCCCTACCCCCAATCCTCTTTTTAAAAAAAAATTTATTGCAGCATACATATAACATAAAATTTACCATCTTAACCACTCTAAAGTGGTCTGTGTACATTTTTAAGTGTACAGTTCTCTGGTATTAAGTACATTTATTGTGTTGTAACCGTTGCCACCATCTATCTTCATATCTCTTTTCATGTTGTAAAATTGAAACTTTACACCCAATAAACAATAACCTATCCATTTTTCCCCTTTTACCCCCAGCCCCTGGCAACCACATTTCTATTTTTTGTCACTATGATTTTGACTATTCTTAGGTACTCATGTAAGTGAAATCATATAGTGTTAGTCTTTTTTTTTTTTTTGACTGATTTATTTCATTTAGCATTATGTCTTTAGGGTTCATCTGTGTTGTAGCATATGTCAGATTTTCCCTTTTAAGGCTGAATGATACTGCATTTTATGTATATACCACATTTAGTTTATCCATTCATCCATCAGTGGACACGTGGGTTGCTTCTATGCTGTAGCCATTGTGAATAGTGCTGCTCTCAACATGGTGTACAAATATCCCTTTGAGACACTGCTTTTAATCCTTCTGAGTATAGACCCAGAAGTGGAATTCCTGTATCAGATGGTAATTCTACTGTATCTTTAATTTTTTGAGGAATTACCATAATATTTTCTCCGGGGATTTGTACCATTTTATAATCCCACAAACAGTGCACAAGTGTTCCAGTTCCTTCACATCCTCACCAACATTTGTTATTTTCTGTTTTTTTGATAGTAGGGTCCTAATAGGATGAAGTGCTATCTTGTGTAGTTTTGATTTGCATTTTTATAAAAATTAGTATTTCAGCATCTTTTCATGTGCTTATAATGGCCATTTTATGCCATCTTTGGAGAAATGTCTATTCAAGTCTTTTGCCCATCATTTTCTTGGGTTATTGTTTGTTGTTAAATGGTAGGAGTTATTTATATAACTGGATATTAATTCCTTATTTGGTATGTGATTTGCAAGTTTTATCCCATTCTCTGGGTACCCTCTTTACTCTATTGGTAGTGTCCTACAGCGCACAAAATTTAAAAATTTTCATGAAGTCTTGCTTGTCTGCTTTTTCTTTTGTTTCCTGTGCCTTTGGTGTCAGATGCAAGAACTTGTTGCCAAATCCAGTGTCATATAGCTTTTGCTCTATGTTTTCTTCTAAGTTTTGCAGTTTGAGGTCTTATATTCCCAGGGTTCTGGTTTTTTGGTTTTTTTTTCAAACTCATCTTGTGTTTTATTGGCATCTTTATCTTTGTGCATTTAGGATTGAATTTCTTCCTCTATTATGTTGTCTAAGGCTGTCTGCTTTCCAGATTCTAAATTTTTTAAGTTATCTCTTATTTGTTGTTTCTTATACACTCTTTTCTTTTGGTCTTGGAGAGTTATCCATTTTTACCCTGTACTTTTGTGCTTGTGGTATTTTACTGAGGAATTGAGAAATAGATCCAACTTATGTTTAATCAGAAGTCACTCCTGTTTATACTTAGATCTAAAATATAAACAACCATGCTTAAAATTCATCAGTGATACTCTGTTGTTTTCAGATAGAAGTTTGAACTCTTCAACAAGATACATAAAAACTCTTATGATTTGAATCCTATCTGCCTTTCCAGTCTCATTACTGGCTCTGTTCCTTTCATATCTTCTCTATTCTTTGTTCCAGACATACTAACCTATTTGTAGTTTCCTGAATGTACCAGCTTGTCTGTAGTTACATCTCACTTCCTACTTTATCCAACGTATATTTGAGAGTTGTCAGTAGTAGGACGATAGTTCAGGCTATAAGATGTGGATGAGATTCCCTGCAACAACAGTGTAAAGTGAGAAGAGAAACAATCCTAGGATTGAGCCCTAAGTATATCCAACATTTAAGGATTGTATAGAGGAGGAAAACAGCAAAAGAAGATGATGAAAGAGTGGTCAAGTAAGTAGAAGGAAATCTGGAGATTGTATTTCCATGGGAAAAGGGTGTTTTAGGAAGCAAAGAATTATCAGATCCTGCTGAGATATCAGGTAGATTGAGGATTAAGAAATAATCTATGACATTGGAGCTCATTGTCACCTTAGAAATAGCTGTTTTGATTGCTTGATGATTGCAGAGAAGCAGCTTCTATTTCTTCCATAGTCGGAAGATCATCTGCTAAGAGTGAAGAGAGCAATGGAAAGGTTGTTGGATCCTTGAGGCATATCAAAAAGAATTTTCAAATAGTTGTTCTGGAGAGTGTAAACAAATGGACCAGAGAAATATAGTAAGGTTCTTGGTTAGTTGAAGTTGGCAGTGACTAACTTACAGTAATGGTGATCTTTTCTGTTGTGATTTTTCTCCTCCACCACTCACCTGGCAAGGCATACACATGTTTATGTAAAAAGTAGACTGTTGGTTTTATCCAGGGTTGGAGATTTATTGACAGAGGGAAATGAGAAAAAAGAGCAAAAGAGTTTAAAGTGTTGGTGAAATAATGTATTATAGAATCTGAGTTGGATAAGAAAGTCAAAAAGAAACTAGTGGATAGTGAAAGAAAGATTTGGCATTTAATTGAATGACCAAATAAATTTGTAGAGCAAAGAATTTTATTAGGTTGTGGTGGGATTCAACATTTAGAATAAAAAGCTCTGTCTTCAAAGAGTTAATGTTTTACTGTCTGTTTATTAATTCTAAAGTCCTTTTCAGTATATTCAAATACATTCACTTACCTCTTGTTCACTCACCCTTGTCTTTGATGTACATGTCTTCATCAGCTTTTCTTTATCTGAAACCTCCTGGGTCAGCTGACTTAGGGAGTAGGTCATCAGAGGAAAATATAGTTAATATGTATATATAGGTGGAGCAGGTCCAGAAATGGGAAAGGAGATCGCTTTCTTTGGCATTTTCAAGTAGTGGCAAAAGGATTAGTACTTAGTGGTTATCACAGGCACATTAAAAAAATTAGGAACCTCAATTATTTATTTTTTTTATATTTCCCGGGAAAGTGATGCAACTGGAGATAGTTAATATCATTTTTGAAAATGAAACAAATGATGAACTTCCCTCATCCTTGCTTAAAAGGAGAGAGGGAAAGGATCTTAAGCCTTCCTATTTTGTTTTCATTAGGATAGGAGCATATTCAGCTAATTTATGCATCTAACCACAGATAACTTACGATGATATCACTAATTTTAAGGGAGTTTTTTTTTCTTTGCTGCTGTTTCTGGCATTTCTAATATAAGCCTATTATAATTCTTACCTAATAATCTTTATTATTTTCCATATCTTTAGGTACTCAGGTGTACCTAGTATAACAGAAATTATAAAATTTAATGCCAGTAAATTCTACATGGTTGGCTTTAGTTTGATTGGACAAGAAACTAGCTTTTGAAAACTGCATTCAGTCCCTTGCGAAAGTCTTTTGGTATGTAAGACTTCTGGAAAGCCGGCTTTTAGTGTTCTGTTTACAAATACAGATTTATTTCTTTAACAAGGTAACATTTATGTTACCTCACTATGTGAATATTTATAGGGTGTATTTTTCATTCAAGTTAAAAAAGGAGTATTTGCAATTGCAGAAAAACAACGGGTGGAGAAACAGGACACTTTTACAGAGAAATTAATTACTCAGATAATAAAAAATCTTCAAGTGAAAATTTCCAACATCCATATTCGTTATGAAGATGATGTAAGTATTTTAATAGGTAATACTTATTCTTATATTTTGCTATTTATTGACTCCTGCTTTGTAGTGGTCAACTTATGAGATGCTGGGAAGTGGAGGGATACAGAGCTGAAGATGACATGATCTTTATTTTTATAATTACACTTGTATCTTGCAGTCCTTAGTGCCTTGATTACACTTTCCTAAAATGCTCAAATATCAGATAATGAAGGAGAATGCTTTTCTTATATTACGATCTCCTTTGTTAGGTGGGAATTATGAATTTAGCAGTTATGTATTTTTAAAATAGATTATATTTACTTCCTGGAAAGAGCGATGGTCGAGAAATCAGTAGGGCTAGACTTAACAAATTGTTTGATCTGAAATATATCATGTTTTTTTCTCTCAAACAGATAATTATTAGCTTCTTATAGTTCTATCGTGAGGGTCACTCACTTTTTTAATAAGCTTTTTCTGTAGACTGAAAAACATGCAGATATATTATTACTGTACCACACTAATACATTGATACTTAATATTTTAATTATTAGTAGGAAAAATATAGGAATAAAATTATTCCAGAAAGTAGGAAAATGTTTTTGAATGTTTGAAATAGTGTACTTCCCAGAGAGTTAACTTTTTCTGTAATGTGAATTTTGTCCAGCTACTAAAAAGCTGAGTAAAATTTACTTTTTCCTTTTTAGATCACAGATCGAGAGAACCCACTGTCATTTGGTATTTCCCTCCAGAATCTCAGCATGCAGGTACTTTGTTTAAAAAGAAATTCAACACAACATTGTAAAATGATTGTAAATCAATAAAAAATGTTAAAAAAAACCAAACAAACTTAGGGTTACCAAAGGATAAATTGGGAGTTCAGAATTTGGAGATACTAACTAATGTATATAAAATAGATAAACAATAAGGTCTCACTGTACAACACAGGGAACTATGTTCAATACCTTGTAATAACCAATAATGAGAAAGAATATGAAAAGTAATATATATGTATAACTGAATCACTGTGCTGTACACCTGAAATTAACATGTCATAAATCAATTATGCTTCAATAAAAAATACTGTTTCAAATTAAAAAAAATTCAACCATATTTAATTGTGCAGTATAGTTAATTAAACTACTAATTACTGTTAATGTGTGTCAGCATCAGGCATAGGTGTCTATATAGAATTGATACAGAAAGTAAAAAAACTGGATTGGAGCTGAGGGTAGATTGTTTCACATTTCAAAAAATGATAAATCAAATTTACTTTCAAATGTGAGGACCTATTATTTGCCAATTATGGAATTTGATACTTTTACTTAAAATAATCCATCTGAATTTTAAATGACTAAGTACAGAATAAAAGTAATGTTCATTTCAAAAACTGGTAGGTCATGAAAAGCCTAAAGAAAAGAAACAAATCATTCATTTTCTCACCACTGTTAATTGTGGCATACTGTCTTCCTGTGTAATTTTTTAAAGTAAGGAATTTAAAAAATAGAGTTGCACATAGAGAATTATGAAATACCTGCTTGCATCCAAAATGGACAAGTGGTGAATTTGTCATTTAGTTTCAGTTTTAAATACTTTTTAAGGAATAAGCTATTATGAATAAAGTTTAAATTCTTTTTGTATTCTACTTTCACTCTTCTCTCCCACTCAAGAGATAAACGTCCTAAGGTTTTAAACTTTTATATACTATATCCATTAAAATCTGTAATATTTGGTAGGTTTTTCAAAGTTTACATAAATCTTTTGCATGATCCTTCTGTAACTTCCATTTTTCTCTATATATTGTGACATGATTTTGTTGCCACATGTAGCAGAATTGATTGAGTTTAACTGCTGTATGGTATTTCATTACATGCTTTTATTTGTTATATCAAGTTTTGTGTATGAATTTTGTGTGTGTGTGTATGATTTATTTTTAAAACTTGGACCCAACCTCAGTCAGAAAAGGAAAAACCAAATTAAAAGTTTTTCATTGAAGTTGGGTGAAGTACACTGTCAAATGCTATTGTTATATTGAAAAATAAGGATGGAAAATTAGCCATTGGATTTGGCAGTGTGAAGGTGATTGGTAACTGTGTCAGCAGCAGTTTTGACCACTGGTTTGAGAGGTCCTTGGATACTTGTCTCCTAGCCCAGACATATTCAATTAGAAATTCAGGTTGGAGCCCAGAAATCTACTTTAAAAAGCCCTCCAGGTGATCCTAATTGCATGATAAAATTTGAGCACCACTGTTCTAGTCCATTTATTTCTCTACAAAAAATGAAAACCATCTTTTTAAACTAAGCATCTGATGTCAGTTTATTCCTCTCAGTCAGTGGCTTTCTGTTGCTCTTAGAACAAAGTCTATAGTTTTGTCTTAAAATAGCTTATAATCCCTTTGTAATCTGACCCCGGCTAAGATACCTGGTTTTGCTTCTTTGTTTTGCAGTGTGTTTTGGGGCCATATTGGGCTACTTCAGTTCTTTGAACATGCCATACATTAAGATGTCTTAGACATCACTTTTACCATCACATCACTGAGTTGAAGCTCCTACCCTATTCTCCCAGAGTACTGTATATTTAACCTTAATAATGGCACTTACCTACTTGTAATTTACTGTTTACTTTTTCAAAGCAGTGAGATCTTTGAATTCAGAGACTTATGGTCGGTTAATATTCTTTGAATGTTGTGTTTTGAAGGACACTTTAATGGTACATTGATCTAGGGCATGATAGATACTATTTATCGCTCTGCCATTTTACATGCAAGTGACAGTTTAATGGCTTTTTTTTTTCTTTGCAGACAACTGATCAATACTGGGTTCCATGTTTACATGATGAAACTGAGAAGCTATTTCGTAAGGTAAAATACACAAAAATTATGTTTCGTCAACCCATGGGCTTGACAAAAGATACTTTTATAAAGGCAAATGGTGATACATAGATAAGGATTTTTGTGAGTTGTGTTTACTTGCTTAGCTCTTCTTTGTGACCAATTATTTGGGACTACTGAAAATAGCATGTTAAAGATTCTGCAGAGAAAATGAGGCTTATAATAAACTTGATTTATTTTCAGTTAATCCGATTGGATAACCTTTTTGCCTATTGGAATGTGAAGTCTCAGATGTTTTATCTTAATAATTATGATGAATCATTGGTAAGTAAATTTTTTTGATACGTTCTATACACATTTGTTGGTATCATCTTTTGCTTAAGGTTTTATTGTTGTTTATCTAGCATATTATAGTCAGTGGTCTTTTTTTCCCTAGGCAAAATCTGCTCAAAAAATTTACAGAAATAGGTAAATATATATGTGTCTGTATACAAACATTTATATAAGCATATGCTTTTTTGTATAATTGGCATACAACATTTATTACTTAAAGGTGTACAACATAATGTTTTGATATTTGTATGTATAACAAAATGATCACGACAATAAGTCTGGTTGACTTCCATCACCATACATAGTTAATACAATTTTTTCTTGTGACGAGAACTTTTAATACTTACTCTCTTTAGCAACTTTCAAATATGTAATACAGTATTATTAACTACAGTCACCATGCTGTGCATTCCCTCCTCATGACTTAAATATTTTATAACTGGAAGTTTAGACCTTTTGACTCCCTTCATCCCTTTTGCCCATCCCCAAGCCCTGGCCTCTGACAACCACCAGTCTGTTCTCTGTATCAGTGAGTTTGGGTTTTTTTTTTTTTTAATTCCACATAAAAGTGAGATAATACAGTATTTGTTTTTTCTCTCTGAGCTATAGCATTAATGCCCTCAAGTTCCATTTGTGTTGTCACAGAGAGCAAGATTTCATCCTTTTTTTTATGATTGAGTGATATTCCTCTGTGTGTGTGTGTGTGTGTGTGTGTGTGTAAAACATTCATCTATTGATAGACATTTAGGTTGTTTCCATATCTCGGCTATTGTAAGTAATGTTGCACTGAATATGGGGGTGCAGATATCTTTTCAAGTTAGTGTTTTCATTTTCTTCAATTAAGTACCCAGAAGTGGAACTGTTGGGTTATACAGTAGTTCTATTTTTAATTTTTTGAGGACTTTCCGTACTGTTTTCCATAGTGTCTGCACCAATTTGCATCTCACCAACAGCACAAGTGTTCTTTTCTCCATATTCTCACCAACATTTGTTATTTTTTGGCTTTTTGATAATAGCCATTCTAACAAGTGTGAGGTGATATCTCACTGTGAATTTGATTTGCATTTCTCTGATTGTTAGTGATGCTGAGCCTCTTTTCATGTACCTGTTGGCCATCTTTCTTTCTTTGAAAAATGTCTTTTCAGATTCTCTGCTCACTTTTTTAATTGGATTGTTTTTTTTTTTTTTGCTTTTGAGTTGTATGGGTTCATTTTATATTTTAGATGTTAATCCCTTATCATATATGATTTGCAAATATTTTCTTTCATTCATAAGGTCATCTTTTCATGTAGTTGATGGTTTCCTTTGCTGTGTAGAAGCTTTTTAGTTTGATGTAGTCACGTATGTTTGTTTTTCCTTTTGTTGTCAAATCTAAAAAATCATTGCCAAAACTGATGTCTTGGAGCTTACCACCTGTTTTCTTCTAGGGGTTTGTATGGTTTCAGATCTTATGTTCAAGTCTTTAATCCATTTTCAGTTATTTTCATTTGTGGTGTAAGGTAGTAGTCCAGTTTCATTCTTTTGCATGTGGCTGTCCTGTTTTCCCAACACCGTTTATTGAAGAATTTTCCTTTCCGCATTGTATATTCTTGGCTCCTTTGTCATAAATTAACTAATCATACATGCATGGATTTATTTCTGGGTTTTCTGTTCTATTCTGTTGATCTGTGTGTCTGTTTTTATGCCAATACCATTTGTTTTTTACTTTTATTTGCGTTTATTTTTTGCTGAATTTATTCCCAGGCCATAAGTTTTTGTTTCTTCAGTTTCTTCTGGGATATCTTTTTCTTCTGTGCAACCTCCTCTTCTGGTTTAGGAACAATCTACTCTGTTTCAGCAAGTATCATCTCAATGTGGCAGAGAGAGCTCATGTAAGGGTTGATCCGACCATGAGCTCTGTAAGTCCTGCGCCGCATCTTGGGAGCTTTGTTCACCTGGATGTGCTCAGTGACCAGAATCTACATCTAAGCCCTTAATTTCTTCATTACTTACTGCATTTTTGAGCATGTGCAGTAAAAATTCACTCTTTTGGGGCCATCGACCCTGTGTCCAGCCCCACTGTTGTGCCTGGGCACACCTACTGACTCCACCATTGTAATGATGGAACGGCACACATCGTTTCTGTAAAGTGACGTCCTTCAGATGCTTGGTGGCTTTTCGGACATGCGTACCCTTAATGGCCTGGGCAGTTTCACGGGTGTTCTTAAAGTGAACACAAAGATTTGAACCTCTTGATTTGCATGATTTTGTGGGGCTTTCTGGGTCAAGTGAATAGCGAACCATTTTTAGAGGTCACCTCAGGTGGCCTACTGGAAAAGCAATAATACCATGTTGTTTTGATTACTATAAGCTTTGTAATATGTTAGAAATCAGAGAGTATGATGCCTCCAGCTTTGTTGTTCTTTCTCATGATTGCTTTAGCTATTTGAGTTCATTTGTGGTTCCATATAAATTTTAGTATTGTTTTTTCTGTTTCTGTGAAAAATAGATTGGAATTTTGATGGAGAGTGCATTGAATTTGCATTTTGCTTTGGGTAGTATGGACATTATTCCAGTCCATGAGCATGGGATATCCTTCCATCAGTTTGTATCCTCTTTGGTTTCCTCAGTGCCTTGTCGTTTTCAGGGTCAAGTCTTTCACCTCCTTGGTTAAATTTATTCCTACATTTTTGATGCAGTTACAAATGGAATTTTTTTCTTAATTTCTCTTTTTGATAGTTTGTTATTAGTGTGTAACAACACCACAGATATCTGTATATTGATTTTTGTATCCTGCAACTTTATTTATTATTCTAACAGTTTTGGGTGGAATCTTTAGGATTTTCTATGTGTATTATCATGTCACCTGCAAATAATGACAGTTTTACTTCTTCCTTTTCAACTTGGATGGCTTTCTTTTTTCACCTAATTTCTCTGGCTAGAATTTCTAATACTATGTTGAATTTAAAAGTGGCAAAAGTGTACATTCTTATCTTGTTTCTGATCTTAGAGGAGACACTTTCATCTTTTCATCTTTGAGTATGTTGATAACTGTGGATGTGTGATATATGGCCTTCATTATATTGAGCTATATTACCTCTATACCCACTTTGAGAGTTTTCGTTATAAATAGATGTTGAATTTTGTCAGATTTTGTGTATGTGCTTATACACAAATATGTATAAACACACAGATATCTTAATAATTTCTAGAGCATTCTTACATAGTAGTAGTTTAGTGAGGTAATTTCTAACCACTTTAATGATTTTTTTAGCTCAGTTCTCCTAAGTTTGTTATTTTGTAAATTGTTTTTAATGTTTGTGTTTTGCACATAATAGGGTTTTGTGGCAGAAAGGTATATTGACATGAATATAAATTGATCTGTTTTTTAATAGAACAGCCTGAGGAATGGCATTGTTGATGAAAATATTGTTCCAGAAGGTTACAATTTTGGTAAGTACATTTCATAAAATAAATGTGCAATGAACATAATCAGTATAGATTTTAAATGAATATTGTTGATGTCACTGTGATATTTCATGTTAATTTTTCCATAAAATTAAATGTATTTGTAATGTATATATGAAAGCAAAACACTTTTCTGTATCATGTGTGTTGATGAGTCTCAGATCTGTCACTTTAAGGCTGGACTTATTTCTGCTTTACCCTACTGTCATTTCTGGCTGTTTCAGTCAGTCTGATGAGGAGAGAGAAACCACACAGTAATTTAAGCAGGGAAAGTTTTTATGAAGAATTACTAAATATAATAGAAGATTATAATAACAAAGGATTGGCTAATAAAAAATAGAACTCTAAAGAATATAGAAATAGTAGGCAGAAGAAACAGCTCTTACCCTGGGACTTAGATGGAGTGCCCAAAGGAGAAGGTCTGCCTCCCTCAGCTGTGAGATCTAGAACTTGTTGGAAAGGGCATGGTCATGGTTCACTGATTGGCAGGAAAGTCTCTGGTGCCATGCCAGTAAAACTTGTAAATTAGCCTTCAGGAACATTTGGGAAATTGACCCTTTAGGGAGCCTTATGGAGAGTTGTCTCCAGAAGGCACTCCACTACAGAACTACCTTAGCAGGGTGCTGAGAGAATTTACTGCCTATTGGATGGTGCTAGCTGCTGTGCACTACAGGAGGTTGATTCTGAAGAAATCTATTGTGCTTCAGGAACTGGACACTGGAGAAACCATTTTCTGTAGGAGCCTCTCTGTAGGAGCTGGGTGTTGGCAAAACCATGGCACTGCAGGAGTCTGTTGAATCAGCACATTAGAACAGGCAGTAGGCATAACTTCTTCCTCCTGTAGTATCTCTCCAGTATTCTCTACTTACGAAGATTAGTATTATGCTAGATGGTAAAGAAAAAATTCTTAAAGGGCCCAAATCTAGGTTTTAGAGCAGGTAGAGAAGGATGTTCTGGAGCTTATGGGCAGTAAATTGGTAACTGACACACTTGCTGGAATGGTGAGGATGAATGAGAGGTTTCTTAATATTTTTGTTTTTTCTTTTTTAACTTAATGAGAGAGATAGATGATAGCTTGTTTATAAGCTAAGATTGGAATGATCCATGGAACATGAAAAATAAGAGAAGAGATTATTTCTGTATTGATATGGGTGAAAGGCGGTAGAATCTAATGTATAAGTCGAGGGCTTTGCCATAGATAGGACCGTGGTCAGTTTGTTTGTAAGATAGATTTCAGTTATAGAGAAGTCTTGGAGTAGAGTGGCCTTATCCAGAATTAGGATTTTACCTAGTAAGTACTGACAAAGAGAGAAGGGCAAAGGAGTTGAAAGGTGAATGCAAGGAAGTGACTAAAATAACTGATCATGGAATTTCAACAGAGAAGGGAGGGATCTGAGGACATGAAACAGGGGTGAAAGACAGATAAAAGACAGAGGACCAGTGGATGGTGGTTCCCTTAAGACTTGAAAGTTTAATATTGGATTACTAGAATGATAAGTGGTGTTGAAAGGAGAGTTGGATGCTTGAGACTGAATTTATGGAGAGGTTGAAGACACTGGTATGATAAGGTCTAGTGGATGGGGTGAGGCGGGGAGAGTCCAAGGAACTAAGAGGCCATGGTATTGGGAAGATCATTTGTGTATTGAAATCACTCGGAAATTAGAATTGCCAAGAGCTAAAATCAGAGAGATGGGAGAGGGTGTAGCCCAGGGACGAATAAATTGTTGTAACCAAGGAGGATATAGTGGGTAATGTATAGTCTTGTATGTAACAAGAATTAAAGCTGGGGGAGAGGAATAATTTCATTTTTCAGACACTGATATTATGCTTTATATGTATACTTTTAAAACTTTCTCTTACTATGTCCTTCCGTTTATGTACATACATTTTTAACTGTGTAGTATTTTGTTGTATAGATGGATCATAATGAATTTAACTGGTCTCTTATTGATGAATATCTTCTTGTTATATTCAAGTTTAGAGTATTTTTGAATTTAGTGCTATGCCTCAGGAATGTTTAAAACAAGAGGAATATATTCTCTGTGTATACAAATTAGCTTGTAATTTAATAGTTGATCTTTTTCTAGATTCAGCTATTACTGGTCTCCCTCTGCATTATTTTTACTCTTTTTGGCAGTAAAGATAAAGGGTTGAGAGAAGTCTTCGATTAAGGGTTGAGCCAATAAGGTTATCCTGGGTGAACTCTCATCTTCTCTCCTTTCCTTTTACCAGTTAAAAAGGGGGAAGAGATAGATACAGAGACACTGATCCAAAATTCAGGAATTATAATTATATAATGAAAGTCAGCAGCTAAATAAATTATTTTTCCCCTTAGCATTTCTAATATGCATCCATTCCTTAAAACTACTTCTATTAAAACTATTGGGCTGTTTTGTCTTTTAGAGAATGTTCCTTCTTATAAGGGTTATTTTGGTGTTTTGAAGAAGAGTTCAGTTAGCCTTTATTGTACTTAAAAAAGACAGTGTGAATTATAGCTAGGAAAATATGAAAGACTCTTCAACACTAAATGATAGTTCATCTGATCAAGTCATAGCACTTTGGAAATCTGGGAACTGTAGAAAAGGTATATAAGAAATGCAAATCAGCCTTTTCAGCTTGATTTCTTTAGCACTTTGAGACTCTTGAAAAATAACTCAATATAGTTTTTAACAGTTTGTCTTGTTTTCCAGTATTTCGCCCCATATCTGCTAATGCCAAACTTCAGATGAATCGCCGATCGGATTTTGACTTTTCTGCCCCCAAAATAAACCTGGATGTTGAGTTACATGACATAGCAATTGAATTTAATAAACCACAGGTGATTCTTTTTAAATGAAATTTTAAATTGTGAGTTACAGTTTAATAAAAGCAGAGCTAAGATTTTAAATGTTTTTCAAAAGTACATAATTGTGTATGATAGTGTTTCCTTAAAAAAGTCAGTAATTTAAGTTCATCTTCAACAACTAAACAAAAAATCTTAAATATTTAAGAGCTTTAATTTTTTTCATTCTTCAGTATTTCAGTCTTATGGAGCTTCTTGAATCAATTGATATGATGACGCAAAATCTACCATATAGGAAATTCAAACCTGATGTACCTCTTCATTACCATGCCAAAGAATGGTAATATGCCTTACGTTTTTTTAAAATTGAAGTTTAATTGATATATATTAGTTTCAGGTGTAGGATATAATGATTTGATATTTGTGTATATTGTAAAATGATCACCACAGTAAGTCTTGTTAACATCCAGTATCCATGCATAGTTTCAAAATTATTTTTCTTGTGATAAGAACTTTTAAGATACACTCTTAGCAACTTTCAAATATGCAATAGAGTATTATTAACCATAGTCACCATGCTGTACATTATATCCCTATGACTTATTTATTTTATAACTAGAAGCGTGTACCTTTGGGCCTCCTCCACCTATTTTGCCCATCCTCCACCTACTGCTTCTGGGAACCACCAGTCTATATTCTGTATCTGTGAGCTTTTTTTTTCTAATTCAATATATGTAAGATCATACAGTGCTTGTGTTTTTCTGTCTGACTTCTTTCACTTAACGTGAATGGACACTGAGGGCATTATGCTATCACAAATGGCAAGCTTTTCCCCCCTTTTTATGGCTGAATAGCATTCTGTTGTATATTTATACCACATTTTCTTTATCCATTCATCCATCAGTGGACACTTGATTATTTCCATATCTTGGCTATTGTAAATAATGCTGCAGTCAACATAAGGGTTCACATATCTTTTAGAGTTAGTGTTTTCATTTTCTTTAGATAAATACCCAGAAGTGGAATTGCTCAATCTGATTTTTAAGATTTAAGAAATATGACATAGAAGTGAATTTCTTCACTTTTAAAGAATTTTTTAGGGTATTCTCTGTAACGGCTGATACAAACTGTAGTGTGATTTGTGGCTTGAAATATTTGTAGTAGCTTTTGCTTATTACATTAATAAAACTGACTTAAAGTAGTTTTTATAATGAATTTACAACTGGAAATACTAGCATAGCGTTCATTTACTGTATTTTTGGAATTATTAAAAAACCATATCCCAGTTTGTTGTCTAGTATCTTTTTTTAGTATTTAAACTTTGGTATCAGATACATTAAACCTGTTATAAACCTGAAAAAGTTATGGGAGTCCGAAGTTTGCAACCCCTTTTTAAAATTCAAAAATTTTGTTTTTCCAGTTATTAAGCTCTTGTCTTGTTTCTGGAAGTTGCAATTGCTCTTTCAGTTGACTATTTATTTACTGTTCAGGTGACTAAAATGCTAGTTGCCAATTAATACTTAAACAATTTTTCTGTAGAACTTTATTTATTGTAACAAAATTTGATGATTTTGCTTATTTTCACTTAGGAAAGAGATAAGATTAAATAATGTATTGTTAATTACTAACAGGGTTGAGAAAAATGCCAAGTGCCCAGATAATGTACCATTTTCATTGCCTCTGTATTATGTATGTTGTTAGAGTAGAAGCAATATCAATTATATTTCATACTACTGGTTTGAGAGTGTTTTAAGTGTAGGGTTTTTGTTTTTTAACTAGGTGGGTTTATGCTATACGTGGTATTCTTGAAGTAAATGTTTGGCCCCGTTTACGGATGTGGTCATGGAAGCATATTAGAGAACATAGGCAAAAAGTGAAGCAGTACAAAGAACTGTATAAAAGAAAGCTAACAAGTAAGAAGCCGTCTGGTGAACTGCTCAGCTCTTTGGAGGTTAGCATATTTAAAAATTTGTTGAATATTTTGTACTACTTAACCTCTTAATCTTTAGTGACTAATGCTTCCTACTTACTTGTTCTAATTTTCTTTGATAACTCTGTCTCTTTTACTTAGACTTTTCCATACTCCTTAATTTCAGTTGGATGAGAAAAACTCTGGTGATGTTTTCCTGTGAACATTTGGAATTTGAGATTATTCTCTATCTGGAGAGATTTGAGCTTATGTGTATAGTAACTTGAAGTCTCACATAATTATGACATTGCTGCATTGATTCCAGTCTTCTTTATGTTGGTTTCCAAGTCTTCCTTATGTTATCTGTCACCACTCCATTTTCCCTATGTTCCCACCTAACTGGGCATTAGTCAAATAAATTTCCTGTCTTCTTCATGTGTATGCTTAAACTTGTAGTCAAGTCGGCTCATGCATTCCATCTGCCTATCCTCATCTCTGCCTATTCCAGTTTTACTCATCCCTCAAGTTCTGCTTAAGTTCTATTTCTTGTACGAACTTTCCTGAATTTTCTGTTTGAAATTTTTCTGAATTTTCTTTCCTGAATTTTTTTTCTTGTATGAACTTCCCTGAATTTTCTGAAACAGTGCTCTTTTCTCAATTCTTGTGGTGTTTCTGGTCTTTACCAGCAACTTTATATTTAATTACCTGTTTTGGGAGTTCTCTAAATATTAGTCTTAATCTTTTAGCATTATAGTTTATTCTAGAAGGTACTGTTTTACAAATAGATGAAGTACAGCTTAGAGAGCCTAAGAGGAATTCGTCTCTTGAAATTAATGGAACTGTTAAAAACTCCCTAATTTTGAGTTTTATTTTTATTTCTGAAGTAGACTTTCTGAAGACCTAGACTGTTGGGAATGCTTAGGTTTTTGCTTTGGTAATTACAGATTTCCTTACCTAGTTTTGGTAAAGTTTTCTAGATAATAGTAGGTCATTGTTGCTTCTCTTTGGGGCAAAAAGTGTTTGAGGATAGAGCTCTCAAAAGTAATCATGGAAATAACATATAGATATGATGAAAGACTGAGCTTATCTCAGTTTATTTCAGTAGCCACAGCAACTTTGAAAAGCGTAAAACTTAGAAACAAGTTTTAAGTATGACTAGATGTACTTGATATGTCTTAATGATTGCATATAAATGTACATGTAATATGAAAAATTAATAATTATATTTTTATTGAAAGTAACACTAATGTGTTTACCCTCAGCTGCTGTTAAAGCCCAAGTAAAAGTCATTTTAAGTAGTACATGTATGTTATCTTTTAATATGTGTGTGTAAATCTTGTAGAATTCTAACTCATACATGCATGACATGTATGATTTCTTTGTTCAAAAAGTTACTTCATCATCAGTAATTTCTAAGCTGGCATATATACAAGCACTGCTTTTCAGAATTTAACAGGAATATTATGTTGATGAATGATCTGTTTTCTGCTTCCTATCATATCTTTTCTTTAGTGTAGCAATTTTATGGATCATATACTAAAATTATTTATATAAAGTTGTTTATGTAAACATTTTATTTTTTTAGGAGTTGGAAAAGACTTTGGATGTATTTAATATAACTATAGCAAGACAACAGGCAGAAGTTGAGGTAATTTCAGATTTTCTTTAAATTAGTAAAAATAAATCTAGAATCCATATAGATTTGACAGATGCTATGATTTTTGTCGGTATTGTACTATAATACACTGTTTCCTAAAAGCAGTTCAAATTTGCTTCTTTATGTTATAAGAAAATTTGATGTGGTGTTTTGCCGCATCCATTTAAATCAGGCAGGTTCTATGGGGAAAACATTCTTTATAAATAATTAGTCTTATCAAATATTCAGAGTTCATATGAAGGTGAAAAGCCTTTTTTTTTTCCCCAATTACTGTTGCTTGTAAGATAGTGGTGCTAACTGCTTGGTAATCCTATATTCTGATGATTGGCTAATGTTGCAGCTACTGTGTTTTATTTTCAGTATGATTATTGTTTACACTTATTCACTAAAGTGGATAAGCTTTGGAAATATCATCCTATTTCTTTAGATTATTAAATAAAGGATAATTTGTCATTTATTTGAAATTTTATTCATTTTAGGCAAAGAAATCTGGATACAGGATTTACAGAGAAGGAGCAAATGAGTCAGAAGATAATAAAGGATGGTTTAGCTGGCTGTGGAATTGGTCAGAATCACAAACTAAACAACAACCAGATGTTAAACCTGGAAGTACGTCCATTTCATTTTATACTAGTGTAGTTAATCATCAGGCTATGGTAATGCAGTTAACCATCAAGTATGAAATTAAGTTTTGCAGGAAATTTCCTTTCATTAAAATAGACATTGTAAGTATGTATATACATATGATATAATTTATTCTTACCAGTAAATTTACTATTAAACATTACAAATATGTATGTCAAGTAAAAATTAAGTAATTTAAAAAATCTTACTAATACTTTCAAATGAGCATTATGCCTAGAGGATTTAGTAAGTGCATATAGCACAGTAATAGATAAAATAAAAATTCCAGGAGAGTATAAACCATTGTAAATTTTTATTGAAACTTTTTCTTAGAAAGATATTTGTTTCTTAACCACATGTTTAAGATCATAATTTTGGAGGCTTAGGGGCTTGGGTTTACATCCAGACCTGTCACTTATTAGCAGTGTGGCCCTGACAAATTATATAAGCTCTCCAAACTTCAGTTTTCTCATTTTTAAGATTGGGAAAGTATGATATTTCTACTACCTACTTTGTATGCTAACTGTGTTGCCTAGCACAATGCCGCTAAGTGCCTAATACAGGTGGCTATTTTGTGAGCTCTTGCTTAAAAGAAATATTTAGAAATTTATATTGCTAAATTTATTTAGCAAGTTATATTTTTGGAGAATAATCCTTCTAAAATTGCCAGTCCATCCTAACATTCAGTGAATGTAATTTCTTAAAAGTATTATAAAAATAGAGTAAAATTTGCATTTAATTTATTAAAGGTAGCTAAGTTTTGGATTGGTTTTATCTTGTTACCAGTTAAGAACACAAAACACTTCTTTATGATTTGTAGGTCTTGAAGAAATGTTGACACCTGAAGAAAAAACTTTACTATATGAAGCAATTGGCTATAGTGAAACAGCAGTTGATCCAACCTTGCCAAAAACAGTAAAATGTTTTCTTGTCTTATACCTGAGTATTTAATGATAGATATGCCTACTTTTAATCCTTTCAAAATTACATGTTACTGACTTGTTCTGTGATCTTTCTCTGAGTCTGTAAATACTGCATTTATTTTAATTTCCCAGGTAGGGTTAAAAATTGTCCCCTACTTTTTAGTGTTATGTGGTGATTCTTTACTATATAAAGGATTGTTTTTGAAATATTTTCTGGTTTTTGGAAATAATAACCTATATGAATAGGAGTATTTGTTGTATTTATATATTTATATATATATATAAATATAAAATTTTTTTTCCATTTTATTCCTCTGCATATACTCTAGTTTGAAGCCATCAAGTTTTTTGTTCACTTGAAAAGTATGTCTATTATTCTGAGAGAAAAACAACAAAAATCTGAGCTGTTAGATATTGTAGTGGAGGAATTCAGTACGTTGATTGTGCAAAGGCCAGGAGCACAAGCAATTAAGTAAGTATTAAGTTTTTTTTCTTTTATCTATAGGAAAAAATTTCACCATGAGGTTGGAAATTAGATTATAGTCTTACAGTGTTTTGTAAAGAGTACTATGGTCAACGCCCTCTTCCAGAGTTCAAACTGTTCACTTCTTGCTGTGTCATCTCATGGTGGAAAGGGCTGGAACCCCAACGCTATTCATGAGGGCTCTGCCCTCACAACCTAATCACTTCCCAAAGGCCCTACCTCAGAATACCATCACATGGGGCATTAGAATTTTAACATATGAATTTTGTGGGACATACACATTCAGAGCATAGCAGCTTGTGTTAGTCACTTGACTCCAGCATGCCACACCAGGAATGTGGCCCACTGTCCCCATAGTTGCTGCTGCGCTGGGGAATGGGGGAATGATAGGCAGTTAAACAAAAAGGAGGAGAGCTCTCTTTCTGAAATTCAGCTGTCTTTTTCTTCATTTTTCCCTGGTTGTTAAGTTTTTTATTAAATTCCGGAGTTGCAAAAAAAACTGATTCTGGCAGTTTTTGTCAATTTAATGGTCATTTTGGTAAAGAAACTTGATTATGTATTTGAGCACCTTACTCTGCTACTTTCCATGACAATACTCCTCCATTAATTTTTTTTAAGGCTTTATTATTTTAGGACAGTTTCAGGTTTACTATAAAATTGAAAGGGTGGTATAGATATTTCTCATGTAGTTAATACTCCTACACATGCATAGCCTCCCCCATTATCAACATGATTCACAGAATGGTACATTTTTACTGAGAATGAACCTACACTAACATAATCACTCAAAGTCCATAGTTTATGTCGTGATTCACTCTTGGTGTCATAGGTATGGATAAACATATAATGACATGTGTCCATTGTTACAGTATCACAGAGTATTATCACTGCTCTAAAAATCCTCTGTTCCTCCTATTCATTCCCCACTCACCCCCAACCACTGATTTTTTTTTCTTTACTGTGTTACAGTTTTGCCTTTTCTAGAGTGTCCTAGTGTTGGAATCATACAGTGTGTAGTCTCTTCAAATTGGCTTCTTTCACTTAGTGATAATGCATTTAAGCTTCCTATATGTCTTCTAATGAATTGATAGGTCATTGTTCTTAGCGCTTAATAACATTCCATTGTCTGGAAGTACCACAGTTTATTTATCCATTCACCTACTGAAGGACATCTTGGTTGCTTCTGAGTTTTGGTAGTTATGAATAAAACTGCTGTACCCATTTGTGTACAGCTTTCATATGGACATAAGTTTTCAGCTCCTTTGCGTAAATACCAAGGAGCGTGATTGCTGGATCACATAGTAAGAATGTTTAGTTTTATAAGAAACCACCAAACTTTCTTCCAAAGTGACTGTACCATTTTACATTTACGTCAGCAATGTATGAGAGTTCCTATTGCTCCATCTACATCCTTGTCATTATTTGGTGTTGTCGTTATTCCATATTTTGGCCGTTCTAATAGGTATGTAGTGGTATCTCACTGTTGTTTTAGTTTGCATTTCCCTGATGACATATGATGTAGATCATCTATTCATATGCTTATTTGCCAATCTGTATATTTTCTTCAGTGAAGTGTCTGTTAAGGTCTTTAGCCCCTTTTAAAATTGTATTGTTTATTTCTTGTTGAGTTTGATGTAGTCTTTGTGTATTTTGGTAACAGGTCCTTATCAGATGTGTTATTTGCAAATATTTTGTCTTATTATGTGGCTTGTTTTCTCATTTTCTTAACATTAATATCAACCATAATCCTTACTGTTTTCTATTTGTTTTTGTCCTTTGTTCCCATTTTTGTCCACTATGTCTTTTCTTCTTATTCTGGTGTAGTTGAACAATCTGTATGATTTCATTTTCCCTCTTTTCTTAGCAGTCAGTTAAATTTATCAACTATTTTTAGCAGTTGCCGTAGAACATACAACATACATTTACAATGGATCTAAATCCACTTTGAAATAACACTGTACTATTTCACAGGTAGTATGAGTACACAGGTAGTAACAAAATATCCTGATTCCTTCCTCTAATCCCTTGTGTCATTGCTGTTATTCATTTCACTTATATAAAGCATACATGAGCATATATGTATGTATATATACATACATAAAACGTATATAAGCATACACATCAAATACATTGTTATTATTAATGATTAACAATCTGTTAGGACAGTTAAATGGTAAACCTCATTTTTAACTTCTTCAGTGATCTTCCTTTATGTAGATCTGAGTTTCAACTTACATTATTTCCTTCTCTCTAAATAATTACTTCTAGTATTTCTTGAAAGGCACATCTAATGGCAACAATTTTTCTCAATTTTTTGTTTGTCTGAGGAAGTCTTTATTTCTCCTTTATTTTAATTAGAATTTTTATTATGCTCTATTCTTGCTTTTATGGTTTCTGAGAAAGTGGATGTAATTTTTATCTTTGCTCCTCTATAGATAGGATTCGTCCCCCCACCTCCCACTGACTTCTTTTAGAATTTCTTTCTTTATGTTTAATTCTCAGTAGTTTGAAATTTTGCCTGGCTGTAGTTTTTACCATTTATTCTGCTTGATGTTCTTTGAGCTTCCTGGATCTGTGATTTAGTGTCTGACATTAGTTTGGGGGAATTTTCAATCATTGATTCAGATATTTCTTCTGTTTCTTTCTCTTCTCCCTCTGCTATTCCCATTACTTGCATGGTATACCTTTTGTAGTTGTGCATAGATGTTCTCTTCTGATTTTTTAGTCTTTATTCTCCACTTTCTATATTTTTATGATTTTACTGATACTCTGTAGCTCAGAGAATTTCCTCAGCTGTGCAGCTGTGCAGTCCCTTAAGAAACCCATGAAAGTCATTCTTATTACAGTGTTTTTGATCTTTAGAGTTTATTTTCTGATTCTTTCTGAGGATTTCCATCCATCTGCTTATGTTGTTCATCTCTTCTTACAGGTTGTCTACTTTATCCATTAGACCTATTGTATTTGCTTTAAATTTCTGTTCATATAATTCCAACATCCCTGCCATGTTTGGTTTTGATGCTTATTCTGTCACTTCAAATTGTGTTTTTCCTTTTTGTGTGCTTTATTTTTTCCTGAGAGTTAGATATATATACTGGGTAAAAGGAATTGTTGTAAATAGATTTTTAATGATTTGGTTGTAAGATGTGGGAGAAGGGGAGGAGTTCCGTAGTGCCATGCTGAGCTCTCAGTCTTTTAATGAGCCTGTGCTTCTGGACTGTGAACTTAACAGAAGTTTCTCAGTTTTTTCCTACCCCCTTAGGTGGAACAGAATGGCAAGAGTGGGTGGGAGCTGAGTATTGCCATCCCCTAGGTCATTTTGGTTCTTACAATATCCCTTCAGATAAGGCCCTAGTTAACTAGTTTCTCCAGAGGGCAGGCCCTTCTGAGAAGAACAGAGTGCTCTGGCATATTTTTAAATGCTTTATCTTCCTCTCCACTTGCCTGAGGAGGGTATTTGTCTCCAATATTTACTGTGGGAACCTGGTCAGATTCCTGGAGGTACATCTCAAATTATTTGGGGGGTTCTCCTATGGCTGGATCCTCCTACAGTTTTTAACTCTCAGAGTTGTCCAGACTGAGTCTTCAGCAATTCATCAGTTAAAGTTTGGGTTTTTCAACTTTGGCACTGGTGGCCGTGGTAGTTTTCTTTCATAGGTCTCTGCTCTGGTAAGCCGTGACTCCCTGTCTGTCTCCCCAGACTTAGGGGTGGCAGGTTGCCCTGTGTCCTACCCTCACTTACATATCCAAGATTTGTTGATTTTTCAGTTTGTTCAGCTTTTTACTTCTTGCTGTTACAGAGTGGTGACTTCAGACTCTTTATATGGGAAATCGGAAACCCCTAATCCTTCAAAGGTTCTTAATATAGAAATCAACATGTGAATAGAGTTCTTTGTGAATTAATGTCAGTTCAGATCTAATAGTTGTATATTTTCTTTGGTATGCATGGAATGTAGTAGCAACAAATGCAAAGTGAAATTATTTAATTTTCAGTTTGAAAAATACTTTAAAATTGTATTGATAATTTTTGTATTGATTTTTGTCTTATCTTCTTCATGCAGATTTGAGACCAAAATAGATTCGTTTCATGTTACTGGCTTACCAGATAATTTGACAAAACCCCGCCTCCTGTCTTCATTGGATGATTCTGCATCACTCTTCCAAATTATATTTGAGATAAATCCATTAGATGAAACTGCTGCTCAAAGGTGTATCATAGAAGCTGAACCTTTAGAAATGCTATATGATGCAGTGAGCATTTTTTTTAATTCCTAAGTTTTAATATATTTCAGTTTGCTTTGATTTTGTGCCTCATGTTAATGATACTTCTTTTAACAGAGAACTGTGAATAGTATAGTGGAATTCTTCAGACCTCCAAAGGAGGTAAATCTAGCACAGCTGACTTCAGTGACTTTGACAAAACTTGAAGAATTCCGTGATAAGACAGCGACAGGTAAATGCCAGTATTAATGTTGGTGGATTAAGTACTTACACTAAACTTTCAGTCATGTTACACTGACTTTAGTAAAGTATTCTTTGAGTTTATGTGTCTAGACTAGATAAAGTTTTAAATGAAACTAATTTGGTACTTTTATATTTAAATTCAGATATAATGACAGTCATTTCTTACACTTAGAAAGAAAGGTCCAACCTATTAACCACATTCAAGTTAATTGCAAAATTTTGTTAGGATTTTTGAAATTCTGTTTGTGACAGAAGCTGGTCTGTCATTTTCCTTTCTTGTTAAAACTTTCAGATTTTTAATAATATTCACCTCAGAAAATAAAAATTCCACCCTTTTTTGTTCTCTTGGTGTGTAAAACCAGATCTCATCTCCTTCAATGTTTGGTATAATTTGACAGAACTATTTGGGCTTGGAGATTTCTTTGGGGAAGATTTAAAATTAGAGATTGCATTTTTAAAAATATAGATTACTGTAGAGATGATGTATATGATTTGTAATGCTTTGTAATTTGTTGAGTCTTCCTTTCTGCCTCAATATATGGTAATTAAAAAATGTTCCACATATATTTGAAAAGCATATCTTCATATCTGTACACATCCATTAGGTCACATTTGTTTATCATGTACTTCCAATCTCCTGTATCCTTACTGAATTTTTTCTTTCTTTTTTCACCATTTTTGAAGAGTTATTTAGAGAAATATGTGAAAAATACCTCACTGTCAATGTAGATTTGTCTATTTCCTGTAGATCTGTAATTTTCTTCTTTATAAATTTTGACGCTATCATTTGGTACATGCAGAGATAAATTTTTTTTTGGTATGAACCAAATCTTTTAATGAAGTTGTCTATATTTTTAGTAGTGCTTTAATTTTTCCCTTTATATTTGTTTTTGTGTGTTCTGATATTAGTATGGATATTCTGGATTTCTTTTGGTTATAATTTGCTCTTGTTTTTTTTTTTTCATTTTTTAAACTTACTTTTTCCCTTAATGTTTGTTTTTAGATGTGTCATGTCAACAACATATAGCAGAATGTTTCTCAGTCTATATTCACAGTCTTTTATATTTTTTAATCTTTCTTGCTTTCCTTTGAAGATAAATTCTAGCATCACTTCCCCAACCCCATGCCTGTGCCATTTGAAACTTAAACGTTCTCTCTCTTTCTCTTTTTACTGTAGTAATTACCACACAAATATTTGTCAAAATAGAAATTTAATAAAACGCTTTACCTTCTCCCAGTTATTGTGAGGAACACTTTAGAATATCTGAACTTCTTTTACCATCCTCGTTATTGTTAATTTTTTTACTTGTTGTCTTTTTCTTTTTTAACTTCATAAGACTTTTTTTATTTTATTTTATTTTTTTTTTTTTTGGTATGGTCAATACTGGTTTAGAGTTACCTGCATATCAGCTACTTTTTTCTGCTCTCCATTCCTGTTTGTACTTAACATGTTTTTTTGGGATTATTTCCTTTCCTTTCTGTTAGTAGTTCATTTATACATTTTTTTCTTAAGTTAGTGTCTGCTGGTGCCAAACCTTTTGTTTGTTGTTTTCTTTGGTTTTGGTCTGAAGAAATTTCTTTTTGTCCTCAGCTTTGAAAGATATTTTCACTGGATATATAATTCAAGGTAGTGGTTATTTTTTTCTCAGCACATTGAAGTGACCATTCTGCTTTCTTTTGGCTTCCATTATTGATGTTGAGAATTAAGAAATCACTGTATTTGCTGCTTCTTTTTAGATTAGCTGTCCTTTTTCTTATATGTTTAGGATCCTTTTATCTTTTATATTCTATAGTTTCAGTATGATGTATCCAGCTGTGAACCAATCTAAGAATTGGTAGATTGAGAAAATCCATCTGGAAAATTTTTAGCCATTAACTTAAAATTTTTTTCTCTTCATTCTCTTCTGGATCTCTGGCTAAATATATTTTAGCTTTTCTTATTCTATCTTTCATTCTTCTTAACTTCTTTATTTTGTTTTTGTTCTGTCTTGTTTTTTCTCTACTACATGCTGAGTAATTTCCTCTCATATGTCTTATTTACTGGATCCCTCTTCAGCTATGTCTAATATGCTATTAAATCTTCCCATTGAGTTTAATTTCAGTGATTATATTTTCATTTTAGGAATTCTGCTTTGTTATATTTAAAATCTGCTTTGTTATTCTTTATAGTTTTATGTTTCCCATGGATATCTTCAAACTTGTCTTTTATTTCTTTAAACATAATCACACACGCAAGTTAGTCCATGTATGACATATAGTGGGCCCTCCATATCTCTAGTCCCTCCACATGCCCAGATTCAACCAACCACACACCATATAATACTGTAATATTTACTATTGAAAAATACTCATGAATAAGTGGACTTACCTGTGTTGGTCAAGGCTTAAATGTATAGTTATTTTATATTGTCTTATCACATAATTCTTGAGTTCCATTATATGAAGACTTTCGTGTTTTTCTATTTCCTATCTTTTGCTTCTGCTGATTCTTATATTCTGGTAACCTTTATCTTTTTCTACTTGATGATTTTTGATTGTGAGCAGCTCAATTTTATTGGAGAATTATTTGGGAGAATTCCCTAGAGTCTAGGATAAATTGACTTTCATTCACGGAAGAATTTCATTTTTTTCTGCCAGGTATCTTGAGAATGTTGGTGGGACCACTAGCTAAAGTCATTACTTGAGATATTTTGGAATGACAAGGGAATGTTGGGCTCTGTATCCACTTCAGGACTCTATTGTGGTTATAATTCACAGGGATACGACCCTCTTCTCCCAGTTTTTCTCAGAGATACTCTTTGCATTCCCCTGTGGGTAGGTTTTAGGGAGAGGGAGATCTAACTTCTAGATTACCCTTACTTTGGGACCTAAAAATATACATACTCAGATTTGCAGGAACTCTTGCTAGATTCCTCCTCTTTGTCATCTGTTCCCTATGTTCTCTGAGACTGTGGAAAGGAGTTCTCAAGTTTATCAAGTGCAGGAAATGATCTCAGGTTCAGATTTTTCTGACTCCCATTTAAATCTGTTAGGTAACCTTCAGTTTGGTTTTTGGCTTGATAGATCCTTATTCTTTTGCCGCCTCTTAGTGTTTTTAGTGGATTTCTTTGTTTTGGTTTTACATCCAGGAATTTTTGTTGCTTTTAGTGGAAGAGTAGGTTTGGCTACCTACTCATTCATGTTACCAGGATTTAAAAATTAATATACTAAGTTCAAGGCTTTATCTTAGTTAAAATTCATCTGAGTAGACTCATACATTTTCATAGAAAGTTCTAGTTGCCTTTTTTTGGTTTACATATGGTTTTATTGGAGATGATTTAATAATCCAGGATTTTTCATTCTCAAGTTATATAAAGATGAAATATCATTGTTCAGTATGGTAGATTAAGATGTATTAAGTTCACGTTTTGGAAAGAATTACATACATTCTAATATAACAGTTATGAATAAATATTTCATGGAACTTAATTTTTTTAGAAATGTATCTCCCCAGTTTTACCCAGCTTGAGTTTATGGGTCAGAAACTTCTTTTTGACAAAGTATTCCAGTTATGTACTCAGTTATATTTAATTCAGAATGTACACATTGACTAACAAATATTTTCACTTTATATTGAAAATATTTTGCTCAGTATTATTTTAAAATTAATACTAATTTCATGTTACTTTAAGATTGTACTACCAAATCATATGGTGAATGATTTTCTATTTATTGAGTAATTTGTGAAGACTGTTCATTGTAAAGATTTAAATTTTCTGCAGGTCTGTTATACATTATCGAAACACAGAAAGTTCTTGATCTCAAAATTAATTTGAAGGCTTCATATATTATACTCCCACAAGATGGAGTTTTTAGCCCTACATCCAATCTACTTATTTTGGATCTTGGTCATCTAAAGGTATATACTACTAATAATTACTTTATAATATAGCACATCTATTGTTTCTTTAAGATGTATATTGTTTTCTAGACAATTTGATTTGGTGCATTAATTTTTAGCTTAGTAGTAGACTAGGATTTGAGAACTCTTCCTTTTTGGTGAGTAAAGTGCAGTTTCATTTAATTAGGTAATTTTCTAATATTTCTAATAGGAAAGTGACCAATTGAACACTGAAGGTCAGGGGTGAGCCTAAGAATTATATTTTTAGAATTTGAGAATAATGTTTGAGTTTATTTCCTTTTCAATTTCAATTTATTACTTGATCAATTAAAATGTGTAAAGTGGGAGGTGGTTTTGGAAGTAATGAAATATATTTTCATCCTTCTGAAGTTTTTTTTTTCTTGTGTGTGTGTGTGTGTATATATATATATATATATATTCACTTTACATATTGTCACTTTAGGATTTCTGTTAAATAATCCTAAAATTGAGAAATGATCTTCTTGCATTTGTCTTCCCATCCAATTGTGTACACTTTCCCCCTTCAGTTCTGAGTAGAGAATACTTTTTTTCTGTTCTTGATCTGTGCTGTTGAATATGGTATCTATTGGACATATGTATTTGTTTAAATTAAAATTTTTAAAAATTCATTTCCTTAGTTACATCAGCCACATTCAAGTGTTTAATAGTCGCAAATGGCTAATGGCTACTGTATTAGAACAGATGGAGAACAATTCCATCATCATAAAAAGCTCCGTTGGACAGCACTGCTCTAGATCAATAAAAGTAGAGGAATAGCTTTAACAATTTAAAGATGCAAGAAGGATGAATAATATTGGGATGCTCTTTCTGGCTACGTAAAAAATATGTGCCTTTCCTTGATATTGAGATTCTCCTTTGTTCTTTTTTTTTTTTTTAACTCTTCAGTTGGTAAATATGTAGACACTGCTAGATTTACATTTATAATAAAAATTTAATACAGATATTATTCATATTTGAATTTTGTTAAGAAATTGGTTCATTGGCAGTGTGGTATAGTAGAAAGAGCCAGTGGAAAGGTAGAGTGGTCAGGAGTAAGGGTATCTATCTATCTAGTTTTGTGACCTGAGGCAATTTGCTTAAACTTTTCTCTAAAATTTTTTACCTTTCAAACAGATAATCAGTTTTGATTGTCTGCTTCATAAGAGCTATGTAAAATAGAGGGAGAAAATGTTAAAATTAAAAAAAGACACATACACACACATATATATATGAATGAATAAGATGAATGAATATACTGCTGTGAAGTGATCTCTAAGATACTTAAGTGAAAAAAGTAGTATGTATACCAGAAAAGGGGTGGTACCAATATAACTTGCTTGGGGTCACATAAATAGCAGAGTTGGGGCTAACATTCAGCTATCTTAATATTTAATCCTGGACTCTTGCTTATTGTTATAGAGTTATCTAAGTATCTGTCATCATGCCATAGAAAGATTTTATAAACTGTATTTGTCTCTTAATTTTGTCTTTAATAAAAAGGCTTCTAAGATTTAAAAAAAATTTTAGATGTATTAGTCATCAGGACTGACTTGGTTCCCCTTCTTTAATATAAACAATTGGGAAATACAACTTAATATATAAAAATTTACTTTATCCCTGGCCTTCTCACTATATATATATCATGATGATATAAAGACATTTCTAATAATCTTACATGTCAGCTAGTGAATTTATCTTCTGTTAAATTTTTATGTTGTAGTTTGAAAGATAAAAACTTTATATTTTCATTTTGAAGTATTTTGCATAGTCTAAATTATTAAAATTAACTTCAAGGTGACAAGTAAAATTCGTTCAGAATTACCAGATTTAAAACAAGGTGGCCCCAAACTTGAAGAGATAATGGATAGAGCTTATGATTCCTTTGAAATTCAGCTTACAAGCATACAGCTGCTTTACAGCGGAGTTGGTAAGTATACAATGTGTTATTTGTCGATTCTTTTTCTGAAGTGATTAATTAGGTTTTTAGACAGTTTCTCTGAAGACCTTCATCCAAAATATGTGAGAACTTTTATATTTTTGAATTAGAAGTGATAGTAGATACTGCCTAGGAGCAATATTTCATCTAGGAATGATTTTACCCCTCGAGACGTTGTCAATTTCTGGAGACATTTTTGGTTGTCATAGGTGGGGAGTTGGGGCACTATTAGCATCTAGTGAGTGGCGGTCAGGGATGCTACTAAACACTGTACAATGTAGGGGAAAAGCACCAGACAATAGACTAATTTGGCCCAGATTTCAGTAATGCTGAAATTGAAAAATCCTCATCTAGACCAGTTTCTTCCAACATTTGGACAGGTTGGAAAACACTGGTGCATATTTAAAGTGATACTTGTATTACACAGTGGGATGACCAGAAGAGGCTGCTCAAGGCCAGAGGTAACCAGCTGAGGGGACTCTGATAGCCCTGGCCACAAACAGCCACACAAAGATTAAAGAAGGTTACTGTCTTAGACACACTTTTACCTTATTCACTTTGGTGTGTAAACAGCAGTCTCTAATCTGGATCTAGTTTTTCAAATGAAGTGACCAGAGCCAGCAATTCCTTGTCAGGAGCCACTAAAGTACATAAAGGGCCCAGACCAACTGAGCCCTCTTTCCATCGTGTCATATTGCTTCTGAATCCCTAGAGTGTTAATGAGCATTGAGATAATTCATTGGATAATCCATTGAATTGGATGGGTGGCTGTTTTAGAGATCTGTATGTATGTATATGATCAAATTTTAATTATCTGAGCTAACTAATAAAAGGAGAAGCAGTGAGATCCTAAAGTAATGGTTGTTAAAAATGTTAGTTTATATAGGACTGAAACATTTGATTTTTTTAATTGTATTTGCTTCAGAGTAGTGAACTTGGTTTCTGTTTTTATCATATTTCAGTTATAGAATGATCCTAGAAGTATAGTGGGTGACAAATGCAAATTATTTATAGAAAATCCATAAATTAATTTTCAAGGAACACATTACTGTATTTTGGTATGTGACACATTTTGGTCACTAGTTTTCAAAAGTCCATGAGTCGTATTTAATACTTATGATATTGAGATGCTTTTTAAAGATTTTTTGAAGTATTTCATAATTATTATCTGAAAATTATTGGAATTCCTTGGGGTTATTTTTGATAAGCATTAACTATTCTTAAATAATTAAATCTTTTGGGGGGTCAGGTTTTTTTTGACATTGGGGTTACTTTATGTAATTGTCAGACTCTTCTTGATAAATGAAACATGCTTCTAAATATCTTATCTTTATATCTAACTTGAGAAGTGAAGGAGATATTTTATTTATTGCAATACTGTTGGAATTTCAAAAATTGTAATGAAGTCCATTTACTACCTATCTCCAAGAGTCTAATATTTCACTGGGTTAGTTTTACTTGACTGAGGCTTTAATTGACTAAAGGTAGGTATATTAGGTTCAAATGGGGGTAATGTATATGAAACTGCTTTGTATTATACAGATCCCATTAGTCTTGTTATAAATTTTAAAAGTTATTTCTCTCTGATATAGACATACCGTTTAGAAAATCTGGACAATACAGGAAAATAAAAACATCATCCTTTATCTTACTGCTCACACATGAGCTTGTTGTTATTTCAGTGCATATCCTTTTGGTGTTTTTTTCAGTGCACATACCTATGAACATATGGGATGTACCTGTGCAGTGGTTACGAGTGGGAGTATTTGTGAATGCGTTCTTAACGTCGTTTATATAGTTTTATATACTGACTTTCCTTTTATTTACCAGTAATATTTTGGGCACTTAAATTCATGATTTTTATTGGCTACCCAACGTTCTAAGGCTATACTGTCAGTTATTTAGCCATTTCTTTACTAAACATCTAGGCTTGTAACACTGCAGTGAATGTTGCCAGAGGGTCACATGTTAGCAGACCTGGATGCCAATTCCAGCTTTATTATTCACTAGCTTTTTGACCATAAGCAAGTTATAAATTCCTTTCATTGTCATTTTTCTCAAATGGGTTGATAATACATCATTGTGAGAATTAAATGAAAATTTAAACATTGCCTAGGATAGTGCCAGTTATAAATCTTGAATAAATGATAGCTTTTCGTATTTAATACTGAAGAACTGCACTTTCCCTACCCTTTACATTATTGTCTTGTAGCCATGTTGTTTTTTGAGTAACGTATCTGGTTGGCATAGTGACTGTCAAGGATGAATGGTAGATTTGATTAAAACTATGTTGTTGTTAACATTTTAATAAGCATTTTTTCTTATTAAAACAGTCTTTTGCAGCCACAGAAGAAAAATGATGAAAGGGAAAAGAATTTACCTGCTGATTATGTTTACCTGGGAATGTGGCATTAAGATTATTTAGATGTAGGAAAATTTCCTCATATCACTGTATGACTATGAAGTATTGATGGTAATTTTAGGTTTAGTGTGTTTTTCAAATTATACATGTGTTAAACATGTACTATATCTGTAATTAGGTGATAATTGGAAAGAAGCACGAAAACTCAGTGTATCTGCACAACATATTTTGGTACCTATGCACTTCAATGTGGAACTCTCTAAGGCCATGGTTTTCATGGACATAAGGATGCCCAGGTATGTATTGTCTGTTTCGTGTGATTTTCCCAGTAGTTCTGCAGCTAAGAAAATGCCATGTTTCAGATTTTTCATAGTAAAATATACGTAACATAAAATTTATCATTTTTAAGTGTATAATTCAGTGGCATTAAGTACGTTCACATTTTTGTGTGACCATCACCACCATCTATCTCCAGAACTTTATCATTTTCACAGACTGAAACTCTATCCTTTAGACAATAATACTCACAATCTCTCCTCCCCGAAGCCCATGGCAGTCATCATTCTGTGTTATGTCTCTATGAATTTGACTACTCTAGGTAACTCTTGTAAGTAGAATCATACATTATTTGTGTTTTTACAACTGGCTTATTTTACTTAGCATAATGTCTTCATGTTGACCTATGTTGTAGTGTACATCAGAATTTCATTTATTTTTAAGACTCAATTCCATTTTATGTGTAAATCATATATTGTTTATCCATTCATGTGTTGTTGGACGTTTGGCTGTCGTAATAATGCTGCTGTGAATGTTGGTGTACAGATACCTGATTGAGTCCTTGCTTTAAATTTTTAGGGGTATATATTCAGAAATGGAATTGCTG